TTCCATCTAGATCTCTATCCCTTTAATCCCTCTAGGAGTTGCTTTAGGCTAGGGAGCTGGAAAGAGAGCAGAGGGGGAGAAAAAGAGCTTTTAACAGTCTACTTTACAGGATAACCTCTCTGTCTCTGGAAACGACACTTGAAATAAACCAAAAAGCTTGCTTTTGCAGAGGTTTCCAAGCTATCACTTTTTTCTTTTTCTTTCTTTTATGAGATAGGAGGAAAAGAAGAAAAGGGGGAGAGAGGGATCTTGGCAGGTGGGCATAATCAGTAGCAGATAGTAAAAGGTGACCTGAAGTACAGGAACAGCAATGGAGTAACATAAATCACGCAGAACAAGTGGCCCACTGCTGCTCTCCCTTGACATGTCATAAATACTTAGTAATGTCCACAGGCCATGTGCCTGTACAAGCAAAAGGCAGCAGAATGGATACAATGGGCTCCTAGATAAAGCCGGGCATCCAGGTAATAGCAACCAGACCAGAGGCCCTGGGAACAAACACAAGCAGTACAGGTAAAGGCAGTACAATGTACAGCATTATTTGCTTGGCTTAGAAGTGTTGTGGACCATGGCCACACAGCACGTGACAGTAATGCAGAACAGCATGAAGACCTTGTGGAGAAGAATGTCCATGACTGTAAATCTTGAGGCTGAGAAAACTGAATAACCAGGAGAGAGACTGAAGAAAGGTCAGCCAAAAACAAAACAAAAAAAAAACGTAGAAGGCATACCCATTGTTGTTGCCCAAGCACAGGTCTATCAGGTGGTGACAGGGGACCTTGTGCAGTATTCTCAAGGACAGATGTTAACCAGACTGGAACCCAAAGGGCCTGGGTATCTCCACTGGCTCCCTTATTGGGCGACGTCTGGGTCTACGGACTCCTTCACGCAACAGGTAGTACTGCAGTGGATTTGGCCACAGGTCCTCTTTGATAATCTCAGCAATTCTATCAGACTCTGGAAGGCTGTGGTCTGAAAACCAGGTGAAGAAGCTGCAGACGAGGTCTTGGTTTCTGCGAATGAAGGACTGGGGTTCATGTCCCCTGCGCCATATGATTGGGGTGGAAAGAGACACCACTCGGCCGGAGGATCTGACCTCATATTCCTTGACGATCAGCTTGTTTCTGAAGTAGGGGTTTCTTCGAAAGAAGAACTTGAACTTGCAGCCAGTCCTAGGGTGTCTGAGTTCCTTCACCTCCAAATTGGTTATGTACCTTAACATCTCTGCATCTTGGCCCCTAATCATGGGAGACAACTGCGGGTGGTTCCGAAAGGCAGTCATCCAGAAGCCCGGGATGTTCTGAATGATATAGTTCCTCCGCTCCAGGCAGTGTCCACGCATCCGCCCAAACTTGTGCCCCAGCGGCTGGAAGGCCCTGTCAGCCTGAGCATTCAGTGTCCAGTTCAGTTGGATGGCCTCCAGAGGGTCCATGCGGAGAGCCACATTCAGAGGCCAGGGCCCTGCCTCCTCCTTCACCTCTCCTACCACTCTGTTTTCCTCCACCACTTCTATTTCTTCACCTACTGGCTTCTCCTCCACCTCCATTGGATCTTCTACCACCTCGTTCTCCTTCACTCCTTCTATCTCCACCACCTCAGCCCTGCCCTCGTCATCCATTGCTACTGGGAGGGTGGCGCACTCTTGCGACTTCACATCCTCCTTCGCACCCACGATCACCTCAGACCACAGCCTCTCTGCACCACAGGTTTTAGGGCCTTTCCTTCATCTTGAAAACAGCTGCCGCCAACACAGAGGCTGCTTCCAGGCCCTCTGTGGGAGGCGCAGCCTCTTCCTGCCCAGCTCCAACAGCTACACGACTGCCACCGCCACCGACTGGGATCTGTGATGCCTCGGTTTCGTCGCGGAGGCTCAGGCACTGGTGTGGGTCCGGACCTCCTGGGACATGGTCGGAACCGGTGAGGCTGCGGGTTTGGGAGAGAGGGGTCTTCTCGACCCCACCCAGGCAGCTCATATTGGTATCCGGCCAACTGGAGGATAACGTTTGTTTTCCTCACAGAAGCCGCCCCTGAGGTAACCGCCGCTCGCACCGCCCACTCTCTCCTCTGTCTCACTCTGACACCTGCAGTCCCATCCCGGCGCAGAGCCACACCTCCACAACACCCATCACCCTCGTGTCACACCTCATCTCTCTCACTCTGACAGCTGCAGTCCCCATCCCTGCACAGAGCCACACCTGCACAACAGCCGTCACCCTTACCTCACACCTCGTCTGTCTCACTCTGACACCTGCAGTCCCCATCCCTGGGCAGAGCCACACCTCCACAACAGCCGTCACCCCCACATCACACTTCGTCTTGATGAGGAAAATGTTGGGTGCTGGGACGTGGCCGATTCCCGCCTCCCTGTAGTTCTGCATCTCCGGGGCCCAGTGCTGTGCGTGGCCAGTTAAAGGCAGGCTGCTGGGACTGGACCCCTTGGCACCCAGCCGCCCCGGACCCGCGTGCCGCCGGGACTCCACGTGCCGGAATGCCCCAGGCCCTCCTGCAGCGGCCTGTTTCCGGCCATGCTGCTTGCGTGATCCTGATTGGGTAATTTTTTAATCCCACTGTTTTCGATTGGATGTTAAAGCTTGTTGCTGATTGGACGCTTCTTGAGCCCTACCAAGCATATAAAAGCAGGGGCAGAAGGACAGGAAGGGAGAGAACATCGGGAGAACATGGAGGGAACATCGGAAGACACGAAGAGAGCTGTAATACTAGGTGTGCTGAGCCTGCTGTAGAAGAATAAGGACTGTTCTCCGATTCTTCGTGTGCCGCCTGGTTCTTTACCTGGTTAAACGAATAAGAGCTGTAACAAGGGCTGTAACGCTAGCTGTACACACTGCCGCAACATTTGGTTCCCTGACCAGGAAAGCCGACTGAGCTGGCTCCTTGAACGGCATCGGTGGAGCTGGCTCCTCGAAGCCACCAGAACGGCGAATGGTGCAGACGGCGTGGATGAGTGGACTGCACCCGGACAGTGGACGGCACCGAGCAGCATCTTTCTCCTTCAGCACCAAGAGCTGTTGGCCAAGGGCAATAAGCTTGCCGAGGCCTTGCTGCGGGAGGGGAAGCAGGGGCACTGACGTAGGCCACACTGCGACAGGCCTCCTGGCAGGTGCTGGCCTCCATGGTGCTGTTGCCCAAGGGCAATAGGAGGAGGCTGAGCAGGTGGGTGCTGGGCTTAGCCAGCTGGAGCAGCAGACCAAGGCTAGGACGTGGGACAAGGTAGGGCCCCTGGGACCCGCCCGAGATCGGCCTGTCAGGGGAAGAGGAGCCACATCGGCTACTAGGGTATAAGCCCGTCAGTGGGACGGAAGAGGAGCCATCAGCTCCTAGGAGGTAGGCCTGTCAGTCGGACAGAATAGGACCCCAATCAGCTCCTGGGGTGTAGGCCTGTCGGGGACACAAAAGGAGCCCGATTAGCTCCTAGAGCCTGTCAGTGGGACAGAAGAGGAGCATCGGCTCCTAGGGTGTAGGCCCCATCAGAGGGACAGAAGAGGAGCCCTATCCGCTCCTAGAGCCTGTCAGTGGGACTGAAGGGGAGCCTATTGGCTCCTAGGGTATAAGCCCATCAGTAGGGCAGAATAGGAGCCCCATCGGCTCCTAAGTTGTAGGCCCCATCAGTGGGACGGAAGAGGAGCCCCATTGGCTCCTAGGGGTAGAGCCCATCAGTAGCACGGAAGAGGAGCCCCATTGGTTTCTAGGGTATAGGCCTCGTCAGTGGGATGGAAGAGTAGCCCCATCAGCTCCTAAGGACAGGGACCTCCCAGGGGAGGGAATGTGTAACCTCTGAGTGAATGTGAGTGGAGGGAACAGTGACTGGTCATTGTGTCGGTAGCTCCACAGCTTTGGCTACGGGGTTTGAGTGGGTCCTAACCTGGGGTTCTATGGTGACGTTAGCATAACGGTAATTGCCAAGACGTGCCTCACTTCCCTCAAGGGACACAGCTAGGCAGACACCTGAGAGCAGGAAAGGA